GCAGCTTTTTATAGGGGCTGGCATTAAGTTCCAAAGCACACTTGAATCTCCACCAGTAGAAGCTCCATTCTTGCACTTCTAAGATCTTAATTTGTTCGACCTCTTCTCTCTTCAACACCTTTGAAAATGTCTGGCCCCTCCGACCGTCGTTTTGACTTGAACCTTGTTGAAGAGGCAGCCCCGCCTTCTCCAGACAACATATGGCGCCCATCCTTCGTCTCCCCTACTGGTCCTCTTACCGTTGGGGATTCCGTGATGAAGAATGATATGACCGCTGCGGTGGTGGCCAGGAACCTTCTCACTCCCAAAGATAACAGACTACTTTCCAAACGGTCTGATGAGTTAGCTGTTAAGGATTCGCTGGCTCTCAGTGTTCAGTGTGCAGGTTCTGTGTCTAATATGGCCCAACGCCTATTTGCTCGAACCCGCCAAGTTGAATCATTGGCGGCCGAAGTGATGAGTCTCAAACAGGAGATTAGAGGGCTCAAGCATGAGAATAAACAGTTGCACCGGCTCGCACATGACTATGCTACAAACATGAAGAGGAAGCTTGACCAGATGAAGGAAACTGATGGTTAGGTTTTACTTGATCATCAGAGATTTGTGGGTTTGTTCCAAAGGCATTTATTGCCTTCGTCTTCTGGGGCTGTACCGCGTAATGAAGCTCCAAATGATCAACCTCTGATGCCTCATCCTTCTAGGGTTTTGTCCAGTACTGAGGCTCCGAATGATCCCCCTCCGATGCCTTCTCTTTCTGGGGCTCTACCGATTGCTGAGACTTCTCCTAAGCAACCTTTGTGAAGGCTCCATCTTGTTTGTTTATTTTGACTCATGTATATGTACATATTTGTAGCTTATCGGGGATATCAATAAATAAGCTTTCCTTCATTTCCACGTATTGTATAAATACACCAAAGCCTTCTTCGCTAAGTTCTTTGAATTTTCTTTTGTTGAAGCTTGTATGTTGAAGCTTTCTGAGTGGAGCATGTAGGTTGGGGTAGTGTTCCCCTAATTTTCCGAATGAGGAAAACTTCTCGGTTGGAGACTTGGAAAATCCAAGTCACTGAGTGGGATCGGCTATATGAATCTTAGAACGCCATTGTGCTCGGTCATGTGTCATGTCCTTCGTTAGATCTAAGTACTCTAAGTCTTTTCTTAGAGTCTCTTCCAAAGTTTTCCTAGGTCTTCCTCTACCCCTTCGGCCCTGAACCTCTGTCCCATAGTCGCATCTTCTAATCGGAGCGTCAGTAGGCCTTCTTTGCACATGTCCAAACCACCGTAACCGATTTTCTCTCATCTTTCCTTCAATTTCGGCTACTCCTACTTTACCCCGGATATCCTCATTCCTAATCTTATCCTTTCTCGTGTGCCCACACATCCAACGAAGCATCCTCATCTCCGCTACACCCATTTTGTGTACGTGTTGATGCTTCACCGCCCAACATTCTGTGCCATACAGCATCGCCGGCCTTATTGCCGTCCTATAAAATTTTCCCTTGAGCTTCAGTGGCATACGGCGGTCACACAACACGCCAGATGCACTCTTCCACTTCATCCATCCAGCTTGTATTCTATGGTTGAGATCTCCATCTAATTCTCCGTTCTTTTGCAAGATAGATCCTAGGTAACGAAAACGGTCGCTCTTTGGTATTTCTTGATCTCCGATCCTCACCCCTAACTCGTTTTGGCCTCCATTTGCACTGAACTTCCATATATTCTGTCTTTGATCGGCTTAGGCGAAGACCTTTAGATTCCAACACTTCTCTCCAAAGGTTAAGCTTTGCATTTACCCCTTCCTGAGTTTCATCTATCAACACTATATCGTCTGCGAAAAGCATACACCAAGGAATATTATCTTGAATATGTCCTGTTAACTCATCCATTACCAACGTAAAAAGGTAAGGACTTAACGATGAGCCTTAATGTAATCCTACAGTTATGGGAAAGCTTTCGGTTTGTCCTTCATGAGTTCTTACGGTAGTCTTTGCTCCTTCATACATATCCTTTATAGCTTGGATATATGCTACTCGTACTCCTTTCTTCTCTAAAATCCTCCAAAGAATGTCTCTTGGGACCCTATCATACGCTTTTTCCAAATCTATAAAGACCATGTGTAAATCCTTTTTCCCATCTCTATATCTTTCCATCAATCTTCGTAAGAGATAGATTGTCTCCATGGTTGAGCGCCCTGGCATAAACCCGAATTGGTTGTCCGAAACCCGTGTCTTTTGCCTCAATCTATGCTCAATGACTCTCTCCCAGAGCTTCATTGTATGACTCATTAACTTAATACCCCTATAGTTCATGCAATTTTGTATGTCGCCCTTATTCTTGTAGATAGGCACCAAAGTGCTCGTTCGCCACTCATTTGGCATCTTCTTCGTTTTCAAAATCCTATTGAAAAGGTCAGTGAGCCATGTTATACCTGTCTCTCCCAAAACTTTCCACACTTCGATTGGTATATCGTCTGGGCCTATTGCTTTTCGATGCTTCATCTTCTTCAAAGCTACAACCACTTCTTCCTTCCGGATTCGACGATAAAAGGAGTAGTTTCTACACTCTTCTGAGTTACTCAACTCCCCTAAAGAAGCACTCCTTTCATGTCCTTCATTGAAAAGATTATGAAAATAACCTCTCCATCTGTCTTTAACCGCGTTCTCTGTAGCAAGAACATTTCCATCCTCATCCTTGATGCACCTCACTTGGTTTAGGTCCCTTGTCTTCTTTTCCCTTGCTCTAGCTAGTTTATAGATATCCAACTCTCCTTCTTTGGTATCTAGTCGTTTATACATATCGTCGTAAGCCGCTAACTTAGCTTCTCTGACAGCTTTCTTCGCCTCTTGCTTCGCTTTTCTATACCTTTCACCATTTTCATCGGTCCTCTCCTTGTATAAGGCTTTACAACATTCCTTCTTAGCCTTCACCTTTGTTTGTACCTCCTCATTCCACCACCAAGATTCCTTTTGGTGTGGGGCAAAGCCCTTGGACTCTCCTAATACCTCTTTTGCTACTTTTCGGATACAACTAGCCATGGAATCCCACATTTGGCTAGCTTCCCCCTCTCTATCCCACACACATTGGGTGATTACCTTCTCTTTGAAAATGGCTTGTTTTTCTTCTTTTAGATTCCACCATCTAGTCCTTGGGCACTTTCAAGTCTTGTTCTTTTGTCTCACTCTTTTGATATGTACATCCATCAACAACAAGCAATGTTGATTAGCCACGCTCTCTCTTGGTATAACTTTGCAATCCTTACAAGTTATACGATCCTCTTTCCTCATTAGAAGAAAATCTATTTGTGTTTTTGATTTTATCTATCATTTTAGTATTTTATTCATTTTTATGTTCATTTTTTAGGAAAGGGATCCTCTCCAGATCCCTTCCACTAAGATCACAAATTTGGACTTTGAAATTTGATTCAACGGTTACAAATAGGGGTCTATTTTAAAAGTTATAATAACTTTGGTCATTAGATCACAAGTCCGAATTTAAAGCCTTGGTGAACTTGGTGGACTTGGTTTTATCACATTTTTATATATTTATATATTTTATTATTATTTTCTCTTTCTCTGTGCCACTCTTTCATTTGAACTCCCACCTTGACTTATCTTATCTCTCTCTCTTTACCGTTTCAATTTCTTTCTCAGAAAAACAAATCGTGGTCTTCCTTGTTTTAATTCCACACGATCCGAATCTTTGAGGGCTAAGAATATAGTAATTCACTACAAGAAATTTCATAAGATTTGGAATCTATCTTTCCAAGGTTATCAAGAAATTAAGTGTAGAACTTAGCCTGAAAGTATGCAAGAAAAATATGGATTGCCCTAATGGATGATGGTTAGTGCATTTCTATTTTACTCACTGTGTTTTGAGTTAACACTTCCACTTGTCTTTAGTATAGTGTAGAATATCACTTGTAACTAATAAAAGAACAAGCTCGTTCTCATTCAATTGACGTATTTACACGTTTGACGTTTAAAGTTTTGAACTTTCTCAATTATTGACCAATTTCTTTTAAGAAATTTCTAAGCACTTTCAATTGAGTACATTTTTATAATATCCTTAAACAAAAAGAAGTGAATTTTACACTACAAAATCATGGCTAAGATTATAGTCCTTCACTATTGGAGATTCCTAATGATTTAGAATTGTCTTTTCGAGTACAGGTGGCTCAACTTATTGGATTATTACTCGGTAACTATTAAGAGTCTAAAACCTATTTAGTTTGAGTTCATAACAATAAGGTATACACAATCATCAACACTACCAATCTCACCATCATATTATGCTGAAATTAAACATCATACCATAGTAAAATCAAACTAAATGGATCTTAATGATATGTGTTATAGAATATGTTAAGCTGTTCATATAGTTATAATACACACACAAAATCTTGTTTTCTATGTCCTAACTTTTCACATTGTTGGTCAGTATTTCACTTTTATTTCTTCTTTGTTGCAAAAAAGATGATTTTCTTGTACCATGCATAGGATTTTTAGAAATGAATCAAAACTAACATGCAATATTGAACTTCTGCTTTTCACTCGCTTATTGATTGGATTACAATCTTAGATTGAGAAAAGCCTTCCACAAGCTGAAAAAACATAGTTAAGAAAAGAAATAAGCTGTTACTTTTCTTTCATTACTAGTTGTGAATTTACTCAGAATAGCAATTGAATATAAAGATATTAAATTCATGAATTGTACGACAGAAAACAACAAATGCAAATGATATTTTCTTTAGAAATATAATTTTAAATTACAATTTTCTTAAGCTATATTAACAGTGGGACCTAAAGAGCACTAACAATTGGAGTTAGATATACGTGGTGGGCTAGTCTCACTGGACTCGCTTTTGGGACGAGTCCGGCTAGCATTCTCCCTTAAAAAATGGTCTTCCCAACAAGGCCATCATCACATCGAATTCACCTTCATTTTTGGTTGAGGTCAATTTTCATCATTGAGCGCTAGTTGATTATACCTAATGGGCCGGGCTCATTAGTCAGTGGCAGTTTTGAAATATCACAACAATACAGTACCGTTTTTGTCACAAAAACAAGGAAAAATCAATTAACGACTTTTTGCATCTGTCAGTGTCTCCGTCGTCTTCTGATTATCCTCCTAATCGGAGAAGAAGGGCAACCAAATCCCCGCTGTAAGTCGTCGTTTTCTAAGGCATCGAAATCTTCGTCCTCCGAATTCGTGGTTTTCTGATTCTCCTCGGCGCTCCTCACGGGCACGGTAGCCTGAGCGCGCGGCGCTCGATTGATTCCATGGTCTGGTCTTCTGCGATTCGTAATCCGACGGTGGCGATGGCGTCGGGGCAGAAACAATCGGCGAATGTGGATCTCTTCGATGCGTATTTCCGACAAGCCGATTTGGACCGCGATGACCAGATTAGTGGCAATGAAGCCGTCGCTTTCTTCCAGGGCTCCGATCTCCCCAAACAGGTCCTTGCGCAGGTACTCTCTATATATGTATATTCTGGTGTACATATGTATAATTGGATGTGTATTGTGGTGCGTATGATTATATTTGTGTAATAATATTGGTTGATCGGGATTTGATGCTGGTGGAAATGTGTTCCAAATCAGATTGATTTTGAATTTGTAGTCTAATTGTAGTTGAAGTGGTTAATGTGAGCTCGGGATGTCGTAATTTGCTGATCTAAGCTGAGATTTTTATTTTGTGTTAGTATAATTATAAATGCAGAATTGATGTTCAAATGGTAGAAAATAAGTAGATTAAGGATTTATACTACAGATAGTAAGGTTGAGAGAGTTATGTTATCAGGTCATTAATTTACTTTCTGGTGTATCCGTTCGACCTTAGGTGGTAAGTAGACTTTAGAAATGTGTTATATGACCCAAGGACTGACCTAGGATTGTTTATTACATTACAATAATGTAGTTGTAATGTAACTGAACTGATGCATCTTTGCAAAACTTGTACCATCCCTATCCCGGAGTTGAAGTTGTTTATTTTTCCTCTTTTGGGTGGTGGATGATTGACAATGTTTAGTTGGTGGATTGTCATTCTTTGCATGATGTGTTTGTATTTTGATGTAAAAACTTACTTGATGCCAAAAATAGTTTGTAGATATAAAAGTTTATTTGTAATTGGGAGTAATTTTTTGCTGCCCAATTGACATACAATCATCCATGTGCTATTAAATTGAGTCACGTCTGAATGTGCAGTCTAGATTGATAGTATTACTACCCATCATGCTACATGATCTTTGATGGAGCGGTTTAGGGAGGGACGCCTCTTCCAGCAGTGCTACCAAGCATTATTATGTTTGATTTATCCAATAATTTTCAACCTGCAAATAATCACTCCAAGGATGGCCATGTGGCCTGCAAATAATCAATAAAACAAATCACTTTTATTTGATGGAGAATAATTTCTTATTTTTCACTATAAAAGGCTTTCAACAACAGCAACCCATGCCTGGTCCTGGTGCTCGGCACATGGCAACCCCAGCTGGAGGAAGGCCACCGAAGCCAGTTGCTCCTTCTCATACTGAGGAAAATCAGCAGGCCAAGCAGCAGAAACCTAGAGTACCAGAATTGGAGAAACATCTTGTAAATCAATTGAGTACAGAGGAGGTTAACTCACTGAACTCAAAGTTCAAAGAAGCAACCGAAGCTGATAAAAGAGGTACTTAGAACTTTTATGTTTCCCCAATTTTTTCAGCTTGAGTAGAATAGTTATGTGTGCATGTTACTTTCTGATAAGTGTCAAATCATGACAAATATCCCAAAGACTTGGAATTCTTGTGATTGGGGGTTTTACTTTGTTCTTAATATCGCTCATTTCCGTGGAGAAGATTTTGATCGTGTTTAAGTAGGGAGACTGTTCGGGTTTTGAAGCTCATGATCAGTTCTTTTATAATAGTAATCTTAATGATTGGCACTTCATTTGTATTTAGTGCATGGCAGTCATTTTACTTTCTTTGCGATTGTGGGGGACAACTTAACCGAAGAGATTGCTTTTTGTTGAGGTGATTGGGTAGGCAATTAAAGCATTCCTTTTTATGCACCATAATGGTGATGAAATAAAGATCCAAATTTGGTTGAACGGGAACCGGGGCATGGGAAGAATTTATCGTGTGTGAATTTAGACCACCTTTTTAGAAGATAACTAGAAAATGAGCCAACGCAATGCCGCGGGTCTTAAAATGTCAATCCACGTAAGAAGAGTTGAAGAACTAACAATTGCAGCAACATTGGGTTTTGCAGTGCCAAATTCAATTAAGTAATACTCCTAAAAATATACATGATTGGCATCTTACATCATATATACTAATTCTATTTACATCCTTGGTTTCATGAAAGGGAGTTGTTAGTGATACTGTAAAAAAGTTATTGCATTGTCAGCTGAATACGTATTTAAAACAAAGCAAAGTGAAAAGACACGGTTTAATATTCCAATGAATTAAAAAAAATCAGAAATGTGAGTTCTAATTGAATTCATTCACAAACAATTACTAAATTAATTTGAAAATTAAAATGGGTGTATCCACAAACCGACGATCCTAAATCACCTGCTTAATTATGTGAGCCACATTGTTTGATATCTGTATTGTTATTCGGCTTGACACATCTGAGCAGGGGACTCCATGAAAGCTACAATGTCCATAAAATGTAATTATTCCTAATTATAAGCAGTGAATCAAACATACATAAAATGGTACGATCTAGTTTTATTCCTTTCCACAAAGCTCTTAGGTTCGACTCTTATGAAATGCTGACTTCGATACAAATTATTAATGACAGAAATACTCCAGCATCTTTTGCGTTCAAGTACTACTACTTAAAGATGTTAACACACCCATAAGCTGACTAATTCTAACGGTTGTGATTTTCACACACCCTTAACTACTTTTCCCACACCCCTTCCTATTTTTTAATAGTTAATTGATATCCTACTATTTAATCTTCCATATATACCCTTCTTACTTTTTTATGGTAATTAATGAAAGACTAAATAGGAAGGGGTATATATGGAAGATTGAATAGTAGGATACTAATTAAGTACTTAAAAAATAGGGAGGGGTGTGGGAAAAGTAGTTAAGGATGTGTGAAAATCACAACTACTATATACTTATATGAAGAAGAACCAACAGAGTGAGTAAAAACAAATTCTTAGCAAAAGAATTAGCTAATTCAATTAACAACTACTAATCAAACTGCAAATGCAACATATGAGTTTTTCTGGCTTCGAAGTTCAAACATAGAACCAACAGAGTCAAAGGTCTTCATATGCATTATGAGAAAAAACTCATTACGGTATCAGAAATCATAACTTAAAGCTAAACCAAAAAAAGTAAAGAGACACAATTGATGTCCTTTATGTCCATCTAAGAGATGGGCAAGTAAATTTTGTGAAGAAAGACCTGCTGGTTTGTCCAACCTGAGAAGATAATAAGTTCATTGAAGATTCATTGCTGGAGTGGTTGATTTATTTAAGTGATTTCTATTTTGTTGAGAAAATGATACCGCCATAAAAAGAAAAAAAAAAACAAGAAATACATAACAGTGCAATCAAATCATTTTTTTATGTCCTATACAGTCGGGTAGAAGGTGCCCAAATCAAAACAAAATGGGTATCTGCAGACTTGCTTGCTCTAAGGACACAACGATTTCCTACTTTAGTAGAATCACATCCAACTCTATCAATCACTTCTGAAATAGTAAAAGACCATGAAATTGTGCAGTCACTAAAGACCTAAATACTGAAATCACAAAAGAAAAACAACTCAATTCATAAATTAATGAATGAAAGGAGTATAAAGTTCAATCATAAACTAAGAAGAGTGAGAAAACATTTAGAAAGTTTTCTCATAAGAAAATTTGTATTAATAGGAAAACTAATTAAAAGGGCTTGAAAACTTTGAGTTTTAATGATAAGGACAAAATAAAAGGTAAAGTGAATAGTATCAGGATTGATTTTTTAGTGTAAAAATGTGGTTTTTCGTTAAAGTGAACAGTACCGAGTGCTTTTCGTTAAAGTTCCCATATAATTTAGTCCTTCTCGGGCTTAAAAGTACCATGTATGACACACATTAATGTAATCAACTGCTCAGATAATTTAGGAGGCGAAAACCAAAGCCAAATTTTGTTCATTTCATGCCTTGAAAGCAGACTCTTCAGTCTATACAGTCCAAAAGGATATAATACTACCTGAGGACCATCAGATCACTTGAAAGTGTATCCCAAGTGTGAAGGCTGTAAGCAAAATTGAACTCCTAGGTTAAGAGGAGGGTGATCCACTTAAATGCATAAAATTGGGGATTGACCTGTCATTTAAAATAGGAGCCCGGTCAGTCCTGTATAAAGAATTCTAGTGACCTAAATATGATATTCTCGAATAACCATGAAAACCTTAACGTGGTGAATATTTAAGCAGCATTTTACTATTTATAAGGCTGTCAACAGGTGACACATAATAATTCTATCAGCCGTCTTGGAAAAATTATTATTTTTTATCAAATCTCTAAGGAGATTAGTAATAAGAAAGTGATAGGCAGTCACTGGATAAGCTTGAACCTGGAACAACCTAGCTAAATAGTATCCGAGGCCATTCCATGCCATACTAATGGCATACTAATGCATACATTCCTCTTCAATTACATTTACATAAATGTGTTACTGCATACCATGTCATGTTTTATATAAATATAATCCTCCAATTTGACACAGTTGGTCACCAAAAAAATATATGGAGAATCAAATTGAAAAATCCAACATAACCCAAATTTACATTAACAGACAAACAGATGCTATAGTAAAGAAAAAGAGAGCCAAGAACAGAATTTTACTTTATCTATGCCGATGACTGTATGAGAACGAAACAAAGACCAATTGGAATGCAAAAAATAATGAAGTGAAATAAGCATATGGAAGTGTTATTTATGATGAAGTGAAATTAACCACTATGGTTTATTTGACATATGGATAATTTCGTCTAAGAAAGAGAAATAAGTATATGGAAGCGTTATATATATATATATATATATATATATATATATATATATATATTGTGTATTGGGATTTGAGAAAGACAATAATGTAATTATCATTACCTATTGGTTTTGAATTTGGGTGTTCGGAAGACTTAATATTTGGTTTAGTTTGTGTAGCTTTTTTTTGGGTATCTTTATTTTCTTCTAATCATGCAATTTCATATTGTATGTTTGAATGCTTTTGTTTCAGAAGACCTGACAAAAATGAGAAAAGAGAATGGAGACCTGATGGCATGTTGTTGGTTGAAAACTATATGAGAATACAGAAAGGCCAAACCTTTGGGGTTATTTTAAGTTAAAAAACTATTGATGCAACAAATACACTTAATGCACACTCCCAAATGCAGTCTTCGTGTTCCCATCGCAACACTATGCATCTAAATCCTATACTCACTTCATAAAGGTTATGAAAACCCCATCAATTTAGGGAATATAATTGTAATATGTAGACCTGACATTTTGAACCTGACCCGACCCGATCCGTTAATATTAGTATTTGGGTGGATGCTTAACAGGTCAGGTCGCTAATGGGTGAACCCGTTAACAACCCATTAAATAACGGGTCACTTTGGGTCAACCCGTTAGCACCCGATAGTTGAGGATGTTTTAGTAATTTCAGTAAAGTCTTAACAACAAAAAATAAACTCTATGCAAAAAATAATAATAATAATAATAATTGTTAATGGGTGGAACGGGTGACCCGTTAACTTAACGGGTCGGGTTCAGGTGATCCGTTAGCTTAACGGGTTGAGTTCGGATGACCCGTTAGCTTAACGGGTCGGATTCAACCCGACCCAAACCCAATAAACCTGACCCGTTTACAGGTCTAGCAATATGCATAATTAGTTGATATCAACCACGCATATCTCACACAACTAAGAATGCAGGGCCAAAATAAAACACCCCAACCCTCTTTTATATTTTAAAATTGTTTTAAAGCCTTAATTGGTGAGCCCGTGGAGCCCACCTTGTTTATTTTTTTTATGTTTTCTGATCTCTCTCTTCCTTCTTCTTCGTCTTTCTCCCCCGTAACTCTCCCTTAGCTCTCTCCTTGTCAGCTCTCCCGTCTCTCTCTCCCTCAACCTCTCGCATCTCTCTCTTCCCCTGGACTCACTAGGACCGAGTCACCATCGAAGAGAGGCTCGCAACGAACCCCGGACCCTGCCCTGCGAGTTCGACGGCACGGAGTAAGCTCCGGCGAGCACCGCCCCTTTCGAGGCCATTTCCGGCCAAACCACGGCGAGTTGGCCGGCGTGTAAGGTATCAATCTCTTCGTCTCCTTGAGTACTACAACTTTCCTTTTTGTTTCACTCAATTTCGTTGAATATTGAAGAAGTTATACTCATTTGAATCTTACCCAGTTTCCGGCGAGTCCGACGGCTTTCGAGGCATTTTCCGGCCAAACCACGGCGAGTTAGACGTCGTGTGAGGTACCATTCTCTTCGTCTCTTCAAGGGCTACAACTTTCATTGTTGTCTTGCTTGATTTCGTTGAGTATTGACAAAGTTATGGCCATTTAAAGTTGGGTGGTTTTCCGGCCGAAATTCCGGCCTTCTCCTTCAACAAACCCAGGCCATCCGGCCTTTCCCTCTCCCTCGGGCCTTAGGCCCGTGTTGCCTTAGCCCAGTACCCTAACCCATTCAGTTTTTATTTTTAGTTATATGTTTTTAAAACCCAAAGGGCTCGGGCCCTAGTTTTGGTTGGCCTTGGGCCGGTTTTCAACCAAGGGCTTAAAGCCCTGATTTCTGTTAGGAGGCCTTAGGGCCTTGTGTAGTGTGTGTGTGTGTGTGTATGTTTATAGTATATGTATGTGTTTGGGCTTAAACCCAAACCCCTTTCCTAACCCTAAACCATTTTAACCCAAAACCTTAGAAATCCAAACCACCCATTTTCACCATAAACCCTTTTAACCTTAGAACCCTAAAATCAAAACCCAATAAATCCTAATCCTATTTAACCTAAACCCTAATCCGGATTTCAAGCCTAAAACCCGTTAGACCTAATTTGACCGTTGACATCCGGTCAACATTGACTTTAGAGTTGACTTTTCGGG